TTTCCTTGAGTCAAAACGAACTCCAGTACCTGAGTCAATTGCATTTGAAAGAAAAAAAAACAGTAAATTAAGCAATTCCTCCTAATAGCAGTCGGAGCGGTCCATGTAAAAGCGTTGGGGCTCTGATGCGTACGGACGACTCGACAATCGTTACTGCTGTCGCGAAGGATGAACGCTGCCGCAGACAGGGTCCAGCATCGCGATAAGTGAAATGGTGGTGTCAATACGACCCCCCACCCCCGAAGTAGGATCTCGGTACGGCCCTCCCCCTGTTCGTATCTACCTGCCACACAAGTCCCCAGCTTCCTACCAGTATTTCCGAAATTTCCTTTCATTTTCCAGTTTCGTACCCAAAACATTTTCCGTTTCCGCAGGGGGAGGACGTTACATAGCACGAGTGAAACGGGAAAACCTCGAAAAGTCAACAACTGGGAAAACTTCTTCCCAACGCGGCAAAGTTGTCTCAAGCACATACGACCCCTACTCCCCGTCGGCCAAGTACGACCCCCCCCACATGTGTTTCACACAACGATGCTGTACCCTGGCCGCAGAGCGCAGAGTTTTGCGGAAGCGGGGGTGGGGAGTAGCGAAACTTGGCTGCCATCTTCCGGCGCCGGTTGCATTATCATCAAAGGTCACTTGCTTGGAACCACCGCTTGCTTGGAACTCCGCTGCAAGCACGCAGCCAGTAAAAGAGAACAACAGTAAGTGAGAGCATGAAGGCAAGGGAGGCGTTTTGCCATTAGGCCTGGTAAGTGTAGAATTTGCTTTGAAGGCTGAGGTTCTGAAGCAAAATTTTTTCACTATTCTTTCTACTGTTTCGTTTTCAATACAAATCGCTCAAATTTTTGAAGCGAGCGTCTTTCTTTAGGGTGAACTGATGATTCGTCGATATCGTACTGCGACTATATCGGCATGTATTGCCATATCCACTTTGTTTCTTCTTTTAATGATGCGAGATTTTCATAAATCGCTTCGACCTCGAAGATTGCTCGAAGATTTGTTCATTGAACATGATCCTGACCCGGCTGGGGTAAGTGGGATATCCATTCCTTTTTTAACTTATGTACACATATATCATTCCCAACGTAACGGCACTGTTTTCTTAAGCAGAGCGGCTATGACCAGATTCACAGTCCGCGGTGATTGGAATCTGGCCATAGCCGCTGTGCTTACGAGTCGAGTAGAGTCAACTGGACTAGTAAACCTCTCACAGTGTTTGAACCCTCCTTCGAAGATGCTGAAGAGAAGGAACGGATCAGTGAGAGAAACGCAGCGGTAACAGTGACTCTTCCCAAAGGACCAGGCTGAAGTGTGCCTTCAGGTTTACTATCGTATTTTTTCATTGCCGATACCATCTGCCCCCAACGACTATCTCCATTTGCCCCTGTGGGAGCCAGAGTAGCTCACTCGACTCTTAACCTCCAGGTACTCGGTGCCTATCATTCCTCTGTTCAGAGCTCCTATGAGAAACTCTGGCGGTAGTCCCCGTGTTTGGCCGACGTCCCGTAGGATCTTGTTGGTAACTATCCGCCGGGAAGTCGCATGAAGTGTTCGGCTTAGCCGATCTTGACTCCGCGGCAACTGCAGCAGCTCCTCCATCTTCGAGTGTTGATGAATCGCGGCTGCAATGGTTGATGCGAAAGGCATTTTGCGGACCACGTGGTTGCGGGAACTTTCTTTAAGCATCACAACCCTACTGGTTTTTCATGATGGGTACTTTTATGTCTGGACAGGTAGCGCGTAAAGAACCGAACTAGGCTGTAACGAAAGTTGGCGCAAGATAGTAATAACTCCAGTTATTGAGATCTTGCCCTGTAGGGAATAGGGTCTGGATGTGCTAGTTGAGCCAACCCATGATAGCTGGTCTCTCGAACGGTTGGTAGAATCAGGTAAGGCCATCTAGCCCCTAACACGCAAGTGTTGCAGTAGCATTAAG